CAATTCATTTTTGGGGGAGATATCTTTTCACCTCTGGGGTAGGACTCTTGATTTGTATTTCACAGAGGGGATGTATGATCTTACTTTCCCAGATGCCAATTCATTGGGGGATTAGAGAGCCACAAAGTGGAGGTTTAGCAGTAGCTTTAGTACATCTCTCATCTGTGATCCCAGCAGCCTCTGCCTGGAGCAGAGGTTGGGAGTCTGCCTCATTCACACCCAGCTCAGAGCTCAAATGAAGAAATATATTCTGTGCAGATCAATCACTGCTTTACATACGAGCAATCCAGTAAAGACTGACAGCCTGAATAGAGTCAGCTCTCGGAGTGAAAGGGAACTGGAAGGCCCTGGACAGAAGGGATCAGACAGGGTGAGAGCTGGAAACTGACAGTTACTGTGGCTGTCTCTTCAAGTTCTGCCTTTCAGTCCTTTTTATTCCACATTAAATAACCCTTTTCTTCTGTTTTGGGTATTAGGGATTGAACCCAGGGCTTCTGTACTGAGCTACATCCCCATCCTTTTTAAAAAATTTTGAGACAGGGTCTTGCCAAGTCACTAGTTGCCCAGGCTGGGCTTGAACTTGTGATCCTCCTGCCTCAGCTTCCCAGAGTTCTAGAATTACAGGCGTGCACTGCCATGCCTGGCTCATACTAAACTTCTTAAAGGACTTAGGCACAACTCAAGCCAAGATTGTAAGCAGCTGTCCTCTGAGTCCCTTCCCCTGTGGGAGACAAGGATTAATGCTGTTGCTCAAGCTTATCCACTGCTGGCTAGACTTAGGATCTACCGTTTCATTTTCAGGCGAATGTTGAACATCTGGTGCAAAAGATGAAAACAACTGTGAAAAGAGGCTTGGTGTTAAGGTACCTCATCCCCAGTTTGTTCCTAAGTAAAGAAAAAAAATAGGTTTTGGCCCTAACCCAAAGCATGGATCTACAATTGGGACACCCTGAGAAATCTGTAGATGCAAAGAGAGGTGACAGCGTATTCCCTGAACCCCAGGAGAGGGTAAAAAAAATAAATAAATAAAAAGAGAAACAGAATCTGTCAAGGCAGAGAGAGAGGCTGGGGAGAGATCCAGAGTGATAGGCTTTTGGTTTCTGCCTGGCAGGAACGAGAAGTGCAATGACAACTATACTACCGATTTCATCTTCAACCTGTACTCTGAGGAGGGGAAAGGCATCTTCGACAGCAGGAAGAATGTGCTTGGCCACATGCAGCAGGTAGGGAAGACACCCCAGTGTTGCCTGCACCAGCGAGCCACGTCGCCAGCAGCCCTAGAGGCTCCTATTGGCCTCCAATCTGCTGGAGGTTTAGCACCACCCTAAAGCAGGGGTCAGCAGCAGTCTCTTACAGTCATAGACCTAAAGCATTACTGGAAATGGCTTTAGATATACTGTGGTTCATCTTTATTTAGGGAAGGTCCTCAGCCTTGGCATTGGTGCCATTTGGAGCAGGATAATTCATTATTGTGGGTGCAATCCTGTGCACTGTAGAATGGTCTAGCATCCCTGTACTCTACTCACTAGATATACTTTTCTCCTTCCCCAGTTTTAACAAGAATGTGTCCCCAAATATTGCCAAATGCCCTCTGAGGGGTAACACTTTCTCCATTTGAGAGCTACTGATTTAGAGAAGGAAAATGAGGTCAGGGAGGAAGAGTAATTTTTTTAGGGCCACCCCTTAAGCTTGGATTGCAGCTAGAATGAACTGGGTTTGATGCTTTTCCCATCACACCATTTGGCCTTTCGTGAAGAACCTATTGGATGAGTACAGGTGTTGAGCTCTATCTCCACTAACTGCGATTTTGAAGGAAAGAACTTTTCTGTCATGAACACTCGATCTCATAGGCCTCATTCACAAGTGGCACTTGAAGTCTGAGACCCTGCTCCATCCCCAGTGTCCTCAGCTGGTGCCTCTTCAACACTGACCAGTGAATCCCTAATATGTGTGTCTCAGTTTGAATGAACTTGCCAGCAAGCACCTGCAAGAATGGGATATATTACTGGATGAATATGAAGCCCTGTTTTCTGTTTTCCTTCTTTGCCACTTTCCTACTTTCTCTTAGTTTGGAGAAGGTCTGTGTGATGTTTCGTATTATTCTGAGGTTCTACCAAGGGCTGCTAGATTCGGCCACAAAGAACATCTTTTATGTGATAATGTGACAGACAAAAGCTCTTAGGCTGAAGAGGGGTAGGGAACTGACCTGGTGGCCAATGGGACTGAAATGGAATCTGTGGAGTTAAAAGAGAGTTGTGGATTCAATCATTACTTACTCTTTCTCTTGTTAAGTGGCCAGTTTATCATAGATCTACATACTATTGTAGGTGTTCTTTCATAGACTTTTGGATTCTTATAAACCTTCCCAATTTTTATAAATCTTTTTCCAGGGTGGGAGCCCAACTCCCTTTGACAGGAATTTTGCTACTAAGATGGGTGCCAAGGCTATGAACTGGATGTCTGGGAAAATCAAAGAGAGTTACCGTAATGGTAGGTGGGGTAAAAGGGTGCACCCCTCTAGAGAGGCTGGCTACCCAGCAAAGCAGCTGATGGACCCTCCTTTATTGCAGGACGGATCTTTGCCAATACTCCAGACTCAGGCTGTGTCCTGGGGATGCGTAAGAGGGCCCTGGTCTTTCAACCAGTGACTGAGCTAAAGGAACAAACAGATTTTGAGTGAGTACTTATTTCTGCTTTCTAGGGTGCTCTTCTACCTGTTAGTTTAAGCTCTATTTTCTTCTACCTGTCTTCAATGCTTTTCTTATAGGACTAACACCTGTCAACCTACCCACTTCAGGTCTGAGGACCATTACCTAAATCCAACTTCTTCTGCCCAGTTTCTTCCCATGAATTTTTAGCAGAAGTTGATGGGAGTGCTAAAAGATGGTGTCATCTGCCTCATTTCTTTGTAGGCACCGAATTCCCAAGGAACAGTGGTGGCTGAAGCTAAGGCCCATCCTCAAAATCCTAGCCAAGTATGAGATTGACTTGGACACTTCTGAACACGCCCACCTGGAGCACATCTCTCGGAAGCGGTCTGGAGAAGCTACTGTCTAGACCTATGTGGAGTGAGGGGAACACATTATCTGGTCATGGTCAGCTCACCCCCTGCTAGATTCAAATCCACATTTTGTTAGTGTTTTAGCTCTTTTTCATTAGGTCTCCTTTTATCCTGCTACCATGATCAGCTCTGGCCAGGAACTAGGGGAAGGCACAGTGAATGGAGTCTCCTAGATAGAATTTACTATTATTTCCACCCCAGCTTCATCGGTTATACAGGCTGTGTTCCTCTACCACTACTGCTAGGTGTCAGCTACCCAAATTTTCCTAAAACTAAGCTTTATTTATTTCTTTGTGATAACAAAGAGTCTTAGTTCCTCTACTACTTTTACCACAAGGGCAAACTGTAACTACACTAATAAAGGCCAGCTGGTCACTGTGCTTTTGGTTCTGCTGTTATCTTCTCAAGTGAAATGTAACCCTGTCGCCCTCTGCGCCACACCTCCCCAGACAGAACTTCTGGGAAAACAGCCCACAAGATTATCCTGTGCACTTTTCGCTGCCCATTGGATTATTTTTCTGCAGTATCTCTTGGCTGTTCACAGTGTCTCAGGACACAGTATATTGGCCCTCGTCCTCATCCCACACCAGTCCTGCCTGCATCTCCTGCAGCCGAGAGGACCCTCCTGTCTCCCTTAAGCATAATGTTTCTCTTCTTTTCCTATACTCATTGCCCAGGGTTGTGTTTTTTCCAGCCATTCCACAGTCTCTGTTCTTTCAACACCCCCCATTTCCCCCAATCCAGAGCTTTTCCTTCTCAACTTTTCTCCTATACTGCTTCCTGGATGAAAGCCAGACTGCATCTCATAGAACATTCATGGGAAATGTAAATTTTGAAATCCTGAAAAATGCAGACAAACCAATCCTGGACTGGCTCGGTGGGTTGGTTGGAGAGATCTCACTTTTCACTCAGCATCGTGCTCTTCTGTTCCACAGCAGCTACTACTTCCTCATTATTGAAATGCATGTGGAAGGCTGTTGGTCCTCAGTATTGGGGGCTCAGACAGTACCAGAGGTTGATGGGAGGCTGCCCAGTCTTAATGCCAGGTTAAGATTAGCCTCCAGTAACCAGACTGTAGCTCTCAGCACAGGTATGTACCTTCCCAAGTTTTCTCACTTGCCTGATGAAATAGGAAAATCGAGTTTTAAACCATTAATACAATTCTTAGTCAGAGAAGGCTTATGCAGGAGCCTGCAATTAATACAGCCAAACATGCTTTACAGTTCTTTATGGGGAAGAGAAATTAATAGTAAACACCAAGTGCTTTGTTAGGCATTTTATATGTTATCATTGAATCCTAAAAATAGCTTTATGGGGAGAGTGGTGACACTTCAGAGACAAGGACATGGGCTAAGGGTAATGAGGTACTGTTTCCCAAGTCTCATAGTCTAATAAAATTGAGAATCAAACAGTTCTAATTTCAAAGCCCATTTCAATTCCCTACCATGCTACCTCAAATCCAAAAAAACCATAAAGGCTATGAGGATAAAGGTAAACGTTGAGCATTTTACTTATTTACGGTGCAAAGCACTGAGCCCAGGGCCTTTACACAGCTGTATCTCCAGCCCTTTTAAAGACAGGGCTTAGAGTCCTGAATTGTCCAGAATGGGCTTATATTTATGATTCTCATTGTCTAAACCTTCCAGAGTACTGGAATTGCAGCATGCCAGACTTCAAGCATTTTAAGTGCTGCTATTAATTTATAGGTTTTCTTTTCTATCTTTAATCCTAGAGCAGTTTCCTTGTGAAAATGATGAGGGAATGGGTAGCTAGGTGACAAGTTAATCACAGAAGAAAAATGTCACTGTGTGAACAGTAAAATGATTTAGGGTCATAATATGATCTGAAGGAAAAACAGTGAAGAACACTTAGAAACAAAACTCATTTAAGTACATGCCATTCCCTAGAACCAACAAGAAAGGTGAAATTTTAAGGTAAGTGGGGTTGAAGCACACAATTTATTAGCCATCAATGAGTGATTAGGAAGTAACAGAGAAAAAAGTAAAATCCTTTGTCACATGGAGAAAGTATTTTCCCTTTCCAGACTATAACCAGTGTCTGTGATGAGAAATGAAATAGTATCTAAAGCGGTGTGCTGAGGTCCACTTTGGCCATCTTAAATTAGTCTCTGGAAGTAGAAACCAGATCTTAGTACAGTATTTAAAAAATTTTCCTAGGTGGCTTTAATAACTAAGCTGGAATACCACCGTTTAAAGCAGTGGATCTCATTTCTGGCTACACACTAGAAACATCTGAAGAAACTTAATAACCCATTCCTACCCAGGAGATAATCTAAACAAGTGGTATGGGGTAAAAATCGCAAGTGTTTCTTTTTTTTTAAAAACTTCACTAGTGGCCTTATGTGCAGCTTGGCAGGGAGCATAAAAGAAGGGGAGGCTTCTCAAATACTCTGCCCAGGCCTTTCTGTCCTTGCCAGAGTATCACTGTTGATGGCAGAGAAGTTGCCATAAAAAGATATACTCAAAAGCCAGAGAATAAAGAACTTTTTATAAACAGCAAGAGGAGAGAATGGAAAAAGTAGAAACAGTAGAAATTGGCAAACTTCTTTTTAGAGCTTTACTTTCATTTTTTTAAATGAGCAAAAGACAAAAGCAGACATAGTTTTTCAATTAGCAGCAGATCCCATTCATTTTGTTTGTAGTTCTCAACCAGCTTTTTAAAAAAAGGTCAAATTTGCATATAGGTCATCTAAGATCAGTAACAACTTGATCTAGTTTAGGAAAATGAAGTGTTGTTGAGTATTATTCACTGACACAGATCTTGGTGGGCCATCTCAAGAGAAGCTTTCATATGTTTCTTGCCCAGTCCCTTCCCAACTCTTCCTCCGAAAACAATGCCTTTTATTCAAAATCAAAGTTCCCAAGACAATGGAAATTAAAAACAGCTCCAATCATTCAATAGAGGGAGTTTTCCATAGTGAATGAAGAAGACCCATGGGAAATGTAGCCCAGCCCATCCTCCCTCGACTTCCACTGAGGGGCAGAAAATGTCGCAAACTGGCTTTCAGAAGAGAAAGTCATTTTAGAGTGGCTGAGAACTCTTAGTTCTTAGGACTGCTTACAATCTGTTCTCTTCAGTGTGGAAAGCAGCAAGATGCCTTTGTGAAATAACACAGCTAAACAACCTTAATCTTTTCTGAATGCACAATTTTGAATCTGAACTCCAACAGGAGTTGGAGTAACTTCATCTTTAGGACACGATTACTATTATCTGAATCTGTGATTTTCTTCTTCACATACCAGTTAAAAAGCTTAGAAAGGATTCCCTTGAAATGTTAAACCATGCCCCCCCCACTACCCAGGAAAATCACACACGTATTCTTTAAACACATTTCACCTGCCTAGAGGAATTTGACTGCACTCTTGACTCTTTCCCTAAAGCGGTAGTGGAGGGGGAAGACTTCTTCTTTTGCAGGAGTGCAATATTAAAAAAAAAAAAAAGCGAAGTAGGCAATAAACAGCACACAAAAGTGAGGGATTTTTTTGGTTTGGCTACTTGATAATAGGGAGGAGAGGTGGTGTGAAAGTTAGTACTGTGACATATTGCCTTGAAGTTTATGAACTGCACTACCAGAACAAATGCTTTTCTGTTTTCCATGAAAGAAAGATGGTACTGCAGGGGAAAACCTCACCCAGAATTGTCTGCATGGTGGTGCAAGTGTTTCCTCTGGGCTATTCTACAAGTAACAGATATTCCTTCAAAGAAGCTGGCAGTGGAAGGCCCTTCACTGCATCTGGCAGATACTGGAGTCCCAGGCTACGGCGCACAGCATAGCGTGAGAGAGTTTTTAGAGTTCCTGGGGCCGAACACAGCACAGTCAGTTTTTCACACAGCTGCTGGTCTTTGGCCACCTCTCGTGGCATGGTGCCATTTTTCCTTAATTCAAAGTGTCCCACAGCTCTGTGCAGAAGCTCAAAGCAGGAGTCCTCTTTCTGTGTTCCAAGTCCCCTCACTAGCAGAGCCACGAGGCGGGAGATGGGCGTCTGGCCTTTTAGGTTGATGACTCTGACCTCCGCACCATAATCAAGGAGGATGCTGACACTCTCAAGATTTCCTTTCATGGCAGCCCAGCTGAGTGGTGTATCGTTGTTGTAATCCAAAGCATTGACAGAGGCTCCACTCTCTAGGAGAGCCCGCACACACTCAGCATTGTTCTTGAAGGCAGCCCAGTGAAGGGGGGTGTCTCTGTTGCCATCTAGAGCATTGGGGTTTGCACCATACTCCAACAGCACCTCCACACAAGCTTCATCTTTTTCTGCTGCATAGTGGAGGGCTGTTCGATTGTAACCATCTAGGGCATTCACCTGTAAGAAAGGAGGAACTAAATTAACAGTAGATAAAACTATTGAGAGGAAAAAAAAAAAGGAGGAACAAGGAACATTTGCAGTGCAATGCTCTGGGCAAGACAATCCAAAAGCAATTCCCAGGGAATCTTAGTGATCAAGATACAGACATGAAAGGAGCTAAGAGAAAGTGGAAAACCACTGGCCCAAGACAGTAACCCTACTATGTGCACTGACCAGCAGGTCTGCCTTATTTAGGGTGTTGCCGTATATCACTCACTTCTCTTTATATTAGAATCTCCACCACAGAGGAAGGAGTCGAGCAGGAAAAGATGAAGTTCAAGTCTTTCAAACTACTCTGAAAAAGTCCACGGAGCTGCTTGAATACTTACAAGTTTTCTGTATTACTGTATTTTTCCTATGCCACTTGTTCCTAATGTTCCAAAATGAAAAATAATGAGGCCAAACCTCTGCCCACACACTTTTGCTATGTTCTTGAACCATGCTTAAAATGCTAAGTCAGCCCTTTGCAAAAATATACTGTGTGTTAACAAGAGAACCCAGCAAAAAGCATGTGAAGGCATGAACACTAATCCTCCAACACGGAAAAGCAGCCAGCTTGCTTCAAGTTACTATCCCCTGTAATTTTTTAATTTCAGATCCCCAAATGTATAACAGCATATTATCTTCTCCCATAAAATGCAATAGAGCAAAACTGAAACATTTAAGTGAGTTCAATTTTTATTTGGCTAAATCTCTCCCATCCTCCCCTGCCTTGATATTTTCATTTTGATCACTCATTTTAATCACTTAAGGGTATAATCAATTTTTACTTCAGAGTCACTCACCACTGAAGTCATGGAATGGTTAGTGACAAGCAAAGAGCAGCATAGCTGTGTGGAGATGACAATGGCAGGGCCTGGCCCCGGGGACTTACTGGCCCATGTGTTGGCACTGTGCACTGGCTTCCTGATTTGTCTGACTGAGTTAGCACTTCAGCATACACATCTTCAAGGCGGCTTGCAAATACTCAAAACTGTTAGCTTACTCGTTTAATACACATCCACTTAGCAATTACTACATGCTGTGTTTCAAACACTTTATAACCTATGAAAAAGATGTCATCTTTTATTTTCTAACAGATGGGAAAACTGACACAAAGAAGGCTAAAGGAATGTGCTCCAGATCACACAGTTGAAAGAGAACTGTAACATGAATCCCATGAAATATGAATGCAGATTCTGTTGCTTTAATTATTCATTATATTATGCTGTTTTGTGTCTACTTCCCAAAAGTTAATTTTTGGTATTTATCTTATTAAAAGTAAGCCAAAAAGATATATAAAAAACAGGGGAGATATAAAACCTTTTTGGAGCCATGGACAGAATAAAGAAAAGAAAGGAAAAGGAATGAAACCCTTAAGATTATTTTATAGATTTACTGTTACATTTCCCCTTTAATATCAGCTATGCCAATTTTTTTAGTAGTTGCTGTTTTGAGACAGTGTCTCACTATGTAGTTCAGGCTGGCCTTAAACTCACTGTGTGGCCCATGTTGGTTTTGAATTTGCAGTGATGCTCCTGCCTCAGCTTCCTGAGTGTTGGGATTATAGGCATGTGCCACCACACCTGGCAAAGCTATGTCAATGTTAACATGAGTTACAAGGTCAGAATGGAAGTACAAAGAGAAATTCTAAGGAAATATAAAGCTCAGATTTTCATGAATTTCTAATGTGACAATTCATGTCACATGTTGAGACCATTACCTCAGCTCCTTTTTCCAGGAGTAACTCCACACAGTCAGCATCTGATACCATGCAGGCACAGTGCAGGGGCTTCAGGGTGCCATGGGTGCAGTTCACATCTGCTCCCTACAGGAAGAAGGACACTTCATTCAGTGTGTTCATTTCTGGCTCACTCAGCAAGATAGACTCTGATCTGGAGGAAAAGCCCTAACTTTGACTAGGCTGTAAATGTACTACTGTTGCCTGGCTTCTATTTTCATTAATTAAATAATATATTAAAATATTAAATAATATTATAATGTCATTGTCTAAGCCAGAGGAAGGAAAGGAATTGTCAGTTCCTAAGATCAAGTTATTAAGTTTCTCCACAAATTAGCCTGCCAAGATGATCACTTATATACCACAGAGGACATCAATTTATGTGTAAAAGCTATAAGAATCTTATTATCAGGCAGGAAAGCTGGGTAAGTGATCTACTTTCTGTGTCTGCCATGTTCTGAAAAAAGTCATGAGTCTGTCAGACTGTCAGAACTGGCATGCATGCTCTTTTTGCCATTTAATGAATGACTTGACAGTCCCTAGCAGTGGGGTGATCTTAATGTTATTTTTATTTATAAATATCAATAAGATTATCTATTAGTCTCAGCATTCTCTGCCACCTATTCCAAATCAGGAGCTTGTATTCCTAATATGAAGATGAAGATACCAGTCAGACCAAAGTCACCAAATGACTCAGCAGCAGAGCTACAATTAGAACGTGACAAAGTTGCGACTGCTGAATCTTCTGATTCCACTTTTGCTGAGAATAAGCTCACACTGTGCACCCTCCTCCTGCAGCAGTGCCATGGGCTCAGCCATATAAACCAAAATCCTAAAGTCATTAAAGATGGTTACATTTTCTAGCGGAAAAGAATCTTTGTAACTTCTTTTTAACAGGAATAACAGAATAGGATATAAAAGATCTAGGATACTAGTCATATAACAGAATTATTGAACAGTGGTAGCAAAATACCAGGTAAAGTGTTGTCCTCATTTGCAATTACCATTGTTTTAGAGGTGAGTGTTCTCTTCCAAATACAACTGGCAGCTGTTGTAAGATAGAAGGAAAGTGAACTCCTTCCACAGTTATCACATGCAGGTTTGGAGAACAACTTACAAGGCTCTGAAAAACACCTCTGCTTTGTTTACCCTCTACTACCCTTAGTAAGACACGTACAGAAGACTTCGCATTCAATAATTCCATATGCGTCATAGAGTGGTTTTACAATGAGACTAAGGTTATCTAGACTATATTTCATAATGAAAACTATCAGATACATAGAGCAAGCAAAGGAAAATGGAGAGGAAAATATATTTTAATAGTCAAAATTACATATTTAAAGAGTATTAAGACTGTGATCTTGTGCTAAGTCAAAGTTGCAAATCTATAATCTTTTAGGATTTACCAGCAATTTTCCCATTTCCCCTCCACAGGGACACAGCACACTCACCCCTCTGATGAGGTCCTCTACATTATCATGAGGGAAGGAACGGATGGCAGCAATGGTCCGGATTAAGCGTTCTGAGAGAGAGTATTTGCTCTGAATGCTCTGCATAATATACCACATACTGGAACTCATCAAGGCTCAAAGTGTATTCACATGCTCCAAACTGCCTGAAACAAAGAAGTTTTAGGCATATACCATAACACTGAGCATATCTGTCTTTAGGCGTAAGCATTCTCTGAGGCCTTTCCAATATTAAAAGCAGACATCAAGATTAGTGATTAATGGCATTTCTGTAATCCTAGGAAGTTAGTTTGTAATAGTTTCTAGGGTGCTGAGTAGACCTGTATGCAAATGCTCTAGGCTAGCATAATATTTCTCTGAAAAGTATGATACTAAAACCTCCATGAGGCTGTGTGGTTTACAAGATTAGTTAAGGAACGGAATTTTTTTCAAGCCAGAAGATAACCTTAAAACATTATGAATTTTTGCTATTTGTTATTTATTATCAACATCACCTTTAAGTTATTTATTATATTTGCCTTATGATACAGTTATGTACATATATGTTCCTCCATCTAAACTGTTATCAACTAGAAGGGAAGATCTTTGTTCTCTACTTTTTTGTTCATATAAGTATAGGTCATTATCAAACATTCGTTGGTTGACTGAGTCAAAGGTATAGAAGTGATTGTTACCTGTGAAAAGAGGGAAAAGTTAGGAAACAAATATATCTATCTCAATGATAAAGTGTCTGTGAAAGATTTTCAAATGTTTTCAAAGAAAAACAGGAAAATCTGAAGTAATATTTTAAAATAAGGAAGAAAGTAGAAGTATAACTATTATGGAATCATCTACTTAAAATTAGAAAAACAAAGTGAATTTCACACCAATGAACACTTTGAATTTTAGGAAAATATGCAGATTTAAAACGAAAATTTTTTGTTTGTTTTTGGGACCGAGTCTTGCTATATAGTTTAGTCTGGCCTTGAACTCATAACAATCCTTCTGTCTCTGCTTCTCAAGTACTAGGATTACAGACAAGTGCTGTTATGGTTGGCTTAAAAATGAATTTAGAATGTTAAAAATTGGCAATTCATGACAACTGAGAAATAGATTTGGGTAAGTATGTTTCAACCACAATATGGCTGAGTTTTAGGATGACAGAACAAAATACTATAATGCAATATTCTTGAATTCAAATATGATAAAATGTTTGACTAACAAGATTCTAGTTAGGGAACATTTAAAGTTGGGTGGTTCAGTTCTGAGAAAAAGTACATATTAAGAACTGTAGAGAGAGCGGACATGGTGGCGCACACCCACAGTCTCCATATGTGAGAGGCTGAGGCAAAAGGATCACTATGAGTTTGAGGCCAGCCTGAACTTATAGTGACTTTGTCTCAAGAAACAAAGTCACATAAACAAAATAACATAAACTGTAGAGAAAATACAATATGTAGCACCAACTCTTTATTTGTAATTGCTGAGGAACCCATATTCTTACTAAAATATAAATTCCTTAGTAGTAAAGATTTTTTCAGTAGTACTGGTCACAGGATAGGTCCTCAACAGGTGTTGAACCAATGTAAAGTGTATTACTTTAAATTCCAATAAATCGAAAATTTCCTCTTAGTAGTAAGCATGTCATGCATATGATGACAACTAAGGGAAAATCTAAAAATTGTCATTTTATAACATAAAAATTGTGCTTTTTTGTGATAGGTAGCTCTTTATACACTTTATGACACATTATAAACTCCACTAAGGGTTTTTTTTTTTTTTTTTGCATCTATTTGCATCTTGTATCTATTTAAAATACACACAGGTCTGGGAGTACACGACAGTGGTAGCATTTACAAGGTTGTGGATTCAGTCCCCAACACCTATGTGTATATAAATGCAAACCATAACTCTCTGGTGTGTATATCAACACATGCACAAACGCAACACTTTCTCACATAGCTCAAATTCCTTAAAGGCTTCTTTGAGGAGGAGGGGCAAAGGTCCTTTCGAGTTGGGGATTCCAGGAATGGGGCGGGGGAGGGGGGAGCATCTAAAGTGGGTTTGGAAAAAATATGTTAAAAAAATAAATTGGGCTTGGACAAAGTGCTTCTGTTAACAGTTTCTGGGCCACTATACGCTCCATTCATTTTCAGGGTGATTTTGACCTCCAGGCTAAGAACTCCTGATGGGAGTGTGGCCAGGGGGTCTCTCCTGCTGTCTCAAAGCTCCAAGTGAAAGTGAAACCCTCGGCAGAAGGTCAGCATTCACTGTTTGGAGAGGCCAAGGAAATCTAAATCCATCCTCACTCTAGACAGTAGCCTGTGCACGATTTGACGTGTAATAACCCCTCCCTGTGCTGGTGCTGAGAGCTCCCTCTGTCCGCCACACCCCGTTTCGCTACAGGATTTAAAAGAAAACATCAAAGGTTGTTTGGTTTATGCGAAGCTAAAATTCAAGAGGAAAAGAGAAGGCACTTAATAGCCTCAATAATTCTGAGGCTGGGGGCCTAAGCCTTCACCCCTTCGATAAGCCAGAGGCGCCGGAACTCCATCGCACCTGCTGCGGGAGGGCTCACGGTAGCGTCGTCTTGCCACGGCCAAGGGGGCGGAGGGCAAGCGTACGAAATGCAAGATCGTGTGATGTCACTTTCTGCATAGGCTCCCAACATATCGCAGCAATCCCGACAAGTCTCCCGGCAATAAACGGGAGTTGTGCAATCTGTGTCGTGGGAGCCCCAGGCGCGGCCCAACCCCCTCCCCGATCTCCCCCAAGACCCAGAACGATGTAAAGTCTTGGCCTTCAGAGCTCTCGGGCCTCCGGAGGAGTGGAGGAAGCGTAACTGGGAGTGGTGCACCGGGCTCGCGGCCCTGGCTGCAGATCTTGTGCACAGAGGACCGCACTCACCGAACCGCTGGCTGAGCTGGGTCTGGAAAGCCGCTGTCAAAGTGTAACCCGGAAGCAGAAGCTGGCGGCCGCGAGCGTCCCTGTTTACAGGACGGAAGAACTGAGTAGGAGGGGCGCCTGCGCGCTGGCCAGTCGCAGAAAGTCGAGTGCGCTTGCGCAGACACGGGTAGCACGCTCCGCTCGGCCCTAGCTATCGGCTTTCTACCCTAGCTCAAAAGCTAAGAGCAGTTTTGTACTGTCCCGGTCTCGGGGCCTAGTACTGTCATAGGAAAGAAGCTCACGAACCCTGGCTGTCAGGCCAATTCTATATGGCTGCGCGCCGGCGTGGCCAGGGCCAGGTGCGGGTCCGCCCTATCACTTCTCTGCTACCATTGTCTGCATTGGAGATGAACCCGGGCTTCTCAGTGGCACAGTGGTCCCAAATTCACCATACTAAACACCGCTTTTGTGCACCAACTCCGTACTGGTTCAGTTGCTTAGGAGATTAAACTGTTAGGAGTGTCTGGCAAAGAAAAGAACTAGCAGCATTATTCATGATGTCAAAATGAATCTATACCCCATAGAAACCTCATGGATATTGTCCACCCTCCTTCAAAGTGAACAATAGCCAAGACAGTCTCAGCCACCCAAGAAATGTAGAATTTAAAATGTTGAGGGCTACAAAGAGACCTAAATGTCGTTCATAATTATTCCCACGTAGAGATACATTTCCAAGTAACACACCTTCCAACACAAAGCAAAAACATTTCAAAGTCATTGGCACGTGCTGGTGCAAGAAAAGGTGAAGCAGCCCTCACAAACAGACTGCAAATGCTGTGATCTAACTGGCTGCCTGTTTAACCACGGCGCCCCAGCATCTACTCGCCATAACCTGCTCCATAAAACCAAAATCAGACCAGCTGAGATCAGAGGAGGTTCAGGGTAGTGCACCTGCATAAATGAGGGAATGGGAACTGGTAGTTCTGGACCTGTTTCAAGAATGAACTTTCTCTGAGTGGGGTTTCAAACTCAGGAATTTTGCCACACAATAATGTGTCCCCACTTGCTGCCACCATGCCTTGGTGAGATTGTCCAAGTTTTCAAAAGAAAATGAAATCCAGATTTAAAAAAAAAAAGATTACATCATGGAGGTGGGCTGGCTGAAAAAGAGTGTAAAACTGATGACTGGAACCCCACAAGTAATCAGCCAGGCCAGTAAGGTAGAAGCATCTGAAGCAGTAACAACGAGACAGCAGCTGAATTCTGGAGAACTCTAGCAACAGAAGACCAGTCCCATCCCCCACATCCAGAGGCCAAGCTCTGCACCATGCCCTGCACATCTCTGGGGCTGGGGACCTAAGCCTTCTCCTTCCATGAGCCAGAGGCAAACATGGACATCATCACAGAATCATAAACACCAGAGGAAGGTAGGTTCTTGAGATAGCTATTAGAACCGGCTACATCTAGACAGCATCTCTGAGGAACGGATATCTCCTTTCCTCCTTAAGAGAGGCCTCAATGTGAGTAGTAGAGCTACACATCCTGGGAGGTTGACAGGAATCAGCATAGAAGACAAAATAAAAGAAAAAGAGAAAATGGAGAATGGCAAGACAGAAGAGGTGTGCAGCCCCAGACTCCACAGCACACCAGGGGCAGGCCTGGAACTCAACAAGGTGGATGAAGTTGGAAGTCAAACACTGGACCTTTCTAAAATGATAACAACAGAAGTGAAAAACAAGTGGAAAAGGCTATAGAGAAAATGAACTCTCAGGTACAAAAAGAAATGATGCTTAGAATAAAAAATATTAGATAAGACATAGAATAACAGATAATTTAGAAAAAGATGGAAATAAAAATGCCCAACATAGGAGAGACATGGAATCCATGAAACAGATCCAGAGATCTAGGATACTAAAACCTCCTTTGAAAGTATATGCAACAGATTGAACAAAAGAAAGGATAAAATTTCAGATCTTGAAGACAGAATTGCAGCTAGTGATCATGACAAGAAAGATATCTAAAAAATAGCAAGAGATCATGAGAAACTAATTCAACTGCTACAAGATGAAGCGAAGAATAGTAATACAAGATTGATTGGAGTCAATGAGAAAGCTAGAGACTGCACAAATGCTATAACAATCATAAATATATATGCATCTAATAATACAGGAGCACCCAGTTATATAAGACAGTTATTGGCAGACATGAAAAATCAAATGAGCAATAACATAGCTGTAACGGGAGACCTCAATACCCCATTGTCACAGAGACACACATCAATTAAATGGAAAATCAGCAAGTAAATATCAGAGCTTAATCATATCTGTGAACAAATGAAGTTAATAGAAGAAGTCATGCCCTGAGTCTATGTGCCAGCAGCCTGGAGAGACCTGGCAAGCCTGGCACCAACCCAGAAGAAGAAGCCATGCACTGAGGTCCTGCCACCGTCTTGAGAGCATTGCTGAACCACTGTTCCAGTGCTCTTCAACACTCCAGGAACCCCAGATTGGAGGAACCCAGGTGCCTAATCCAATTCACTACACCAAGGGACTGGCAACCAATGCAGGAAGCACCCAGAATGCAGCAATGGGTTGATTCCATGGAACACAGGAAAATGTCAAGATAAGGAACAAATATACAATCTCAGACCTCCAGCCCACATAGAACAAGACCTGGTAGAAATTAGACATCACACACTTGAAATTTCTGAAAGGATAACAACTGAAGTAAAGAGGCAACTTAGTTCTTGTATTGTTTGGTTAATTTTACATGCCTATGTCTGATGGTCTGGACAGCAATTGTGAAGATAACAAGAGGTATTATCATGTTTGGAAGTCCTGTACCATCTTCATTGTTTTTATTTGGTTTTATTCTGTTTTGTTTTTTTTATTTGATTTTATTATGTCTAATGGTATCGGCAGCTGTTTTGAAGATAAGATATATTTTGGTGGCCATTGTTGATTTCCTATTATCTTGTTTTGAAGTCCTCTATCACTTTCTTTGTTTTATTTTGAATGGCTTTATTCTGTTGTATTTTGTTTGGTTTTATTCTCTTTAAATAAAAGGAAAGGAAAAAATTCTCTCAAATTGCATATGTTGGCATTTAAAAAAAATACAATGATTTTTAAAAGCAAGTTACATACAGTCTGAAAATCCCTCTCCCAGACTCTAGATTAAAGCGTATTTTGGTCACTGGAAGTTCTGAGGGTGAAGAATTTAAGACATCCCCCTAGTTGAGAGGGGTCTGGCGAATAGACTTGAAACTGTAATTACATATTAACTATATTACTTATTTAATTTATAATTTTGGTTGGGAAAATTTGAAGAAATCCAACTAAGATTATATATAGACTAGAAATCCCCAACCCATGCTCTCAATCATTGTAAGGCATTTGTTCAAATTCAATCTACAGTAGCAGTTTGATTCTGTGATTCTTTTATCTAAACTAGAAATTTATACTATCACCTTAAAGAATATTAAACTTCTAAATACAAAAACTAGATATACTTGAGTTGATGCTGATCCAAAATGAGGGAATACATTGTGCAAATTTAAGTACTTCCTGGACACCAGTAGAGAAAGTCACAGAAAAAATTAAGCCACATCTATGCCTTATCCAGGCCTAAACTCATTTCAGCTAGTATGTTTCAAATTCCCATCTCTGTGTCTAGAACTGTGTGACTCACAGGGTAGCCCAAGAATATATTTTTTCCTGATCTTCCTTGGATCCTAGTTAGTTGGAAGAGGAATAACTCCATTCCTTTCCATGAGGTCACGGGCCCAGAATTGCCAAATCATCTTTTTTCCTAGATTCAGAAAAAGTGTTGCTCAGCTTGGTGCTACCCATCACTGTCAATAGAGAAGAGGACCAGCTTCACACAGCTGACCTGTTGACTTCTCCTCTGGCCTGCATCCTATTAAGTCTGGCTTAATCAAGTCTGGATGGGGCCACTGCTCAGTGTCTGAGAATTCACTGTGAAAAGGAGCTCCCCTCCTGGATACAGCAGAGATGATGCAGTCAAAGCAGCCATCAAATGTAAGTACTGCTCCCTAAGGGTGGTATCCACCCCCAACCTCACCCCAGGATCTGTGTCTTGGCTGTTCTTGTTTAATGTCTTCTGTTAGCCAGGGTAGTAGAGAGTATAAGATTAGAGTATCAGCTTAGAGATTGATTGAATAATTTCTGCAGTTTTAGGGAATTTTTTTCTGAAGACTAATTTGGCATTTCATAACTTTTCTCAAAATCTGAAATAGCTAATGTCCATTTTTCCCTTGAAAAAAATGAATTTCTTTACTGTATTGTTTCATTTATCATATTTCTTTGTTGGTAAATCCTAGGATACAGAAGTTCTGGAAAGTTATCAGTATTTAATGAATGTAAGAATGATTTTTTGGAGTCTGGCAGGATAAGGTTAAATAAGCCACCCATGCAGGTTATTTTAAAGCATCTTGAGAATCCACTGCACAACAAAAGTTGCATCCATTCCCCAGACATTTTCTGAACACATACTTTGTTCCAGGCTCTGTGCTCAATTGTGTATGGAAAATAGAGATGGAGACACACAGCTTCCTTTTTTTTGTCTTTTTCCTTTTTATCAGTACCGGGGATCAAACTCACAACTGCCTGCTTACAAGGCAGGTGCTTATGCCACTGAGCTAAATCCCCAGCCCAGACACACAGCTTCTTACTATCAAGGTTTGGAAGCACATAGGAACACTGTCAATTGCAATTAAAGATGGTTACTCAAAAAGGTTTGTAAGTACAAAGTCAATGTTGAAGAACAGTTTTAACTTATGATATCAAGAGTGTGTCAGGAAGGAGATTTATAAAGTAGAAGAAGGAGATTTATAAAATAGAGAACTATACTAGCTCTTTCCTTGAGTTAGAGAAGGCTCTAGTCACAGAATAGATGTGAGATCTACCTGTGCTCCCAGATCAGCAGGATCAATGAATGTATGAATGTTTCCCGGCACTAAATGTGGGCCACAGAAGAGGCAGACAACATGACGGTTT